ACCTTTATTGTAAGAGTAGTAGTTAATAGGAAGGTTAGAAACTTTGAAGGTTGTTTTTGGCTTCTGATACTCTGACAGCTCCTCTCTAATGCTTTTAACATAGCCACACTTGGTTATCTTAGTGCCAGCTTTTGCTGCATTGCTTACATTTCTTTTGGTATTTTTTTGTGAATTCTTTTCAAGTACTTGTTCACATGACTGCTACTTCTGGAGCACATGTACCTGAGATTGGATTATTTTTGACAGCTGTGTCCATGGGACCTTCCACTGTGCCTTTAACATCCTTACCCTGTCACCATTTCTGGGAATAGTGAAGGGTACTTAAATCCTCTCAGTTTACTCAGCCACAGAGTAGTTCAGAGCTCTTCATCTCTGACATGGTGCATGTTTTACCAAATCACACCAGTAGCATTTGTCTATAAGGCTTGCAAAATCTTATAGCTGATTTCAGTGGGTTAAGGACAATGAATGGACTGTTGACCCAGTCCTGCAGACCACCCCATGCAACTGGGGATGCATGCCAGCAGATTGATTTACTTTAGAGCAGAACAAGAAATGGTAGACTGCCTTTTCCTGATCCCAGGGTATTTGTACAGTGCTATTATGCCACAAGCTCCAGAGATAATCTGTAAGTCCTATGAATTCTCCATTGCATACCCTTGATACAATTAGGACTCTTTCATATTACCTTGATGGAGTTGGACTATTCAGGATCTCCCCAACTGTTTGTAGCTTTTTGCTGACAGGATGAAATTCAAGTCAGTATTCACCTAGTGATTAATTAAATGGGTGTCTGTTGTATTAGCTGATGCCATGAATTAGCAAAGTTAAATCCACCAATGCAGATTGTATGTACCCTAATAGAGTCAAATCTGTTTGCTCTGAGCAGCTTATCCGTTTTAGAAATTTGGCAGGAAGCTGCATGGGAGCCAGACCCCACTGTCATCCAGGCCTTTTTCTCAGTTGAGATATCAAGATCCAATTCCTCTTTGGCAGAGCTGTCTTGCAATCATTAAGTAGGCTTTCTGGCACTCACTGATTAACGCTCAGGTCACAAGATACTAGTCAGCAGGAACAGAATCCCTGGGTAATGGCTTGAATCAAGAACAGTGACTGCACAGTACCTCCTTCTTAGAGGTGTGGTGTGCATATGCATCCCAGGACCTCCCCTCTTCCCTGATGCTGTTGGATCCTATACTGGGTGGATCCCACACTGGTGAAGGAACTGAAGGATGGGTAGGGCTTCTTCAACCCTTTTATGTTTCCAGTTTGGGAGGAGGAGAGGGTATGAGGAGCCCTAGGGTGGAGGCCTGGCCCCAACATAATTGCTGGCTAAACTAATCCCATCTTGTGCCCATGTGTGCACCAGAAATGGGAATCCATGTGACAGCCTGTCACAAAAAAAACAGGGTAAGTAGTAGGTGGGTTTTTTGTTAATGTTGCAGCTGACCTTGAAGCTTGTCTGTTGATTTTGACACTTGTACAATGTCAGCCCTGTTGTGATCGGTGAAATAGATAAAGCTGAACCATTGAGAGAACCAAGGAATACAGTCCTAGGAAATGACTTTGATTTACATTCCTTATGTTCTTAACACACGCAGATGTTTTATCTCTGAGCTCCCCCACATGCAAGGCAGTTTTGTGGATAAGCTGCTAGACCTGATGCCCAGGCTTGTGACCTCCAAGCCTTCAGAAGTGGTAAAAATCCTGCAAACAACGCTACGACAAAGTGCCTTCCTTCACCTTCCTCTGCCAGAGCAGGTGAGTAGTCCACGGGGAGTGAAATAGAGGCATCTTCCAACCTGTTCCCAGAACTAACTTCATGAGGAGCCACCACAAGCCTTTTATGGGCCAGTCACGAGAGATGTTTTTCTTCATACTAAATGTCAGGGTCTTCAGGATGGTTGCCAAAAAATAAAGAGCTTGAATAATTTTTAGATAATGTCAGGAATTTAGAAAAATTCACACACAATGGATTCTTTGTTAGGAGGTGGAATAATTGTCTCTTTCTTCCTCTGCTCCAGCTCCATAAAGCTTCTGCAAACATCATTGAACCTACTGGTGAATCTGATAACCCTCTGAGGTTCACATCAGGGTTAGTTGTGGCTTTGGATGTTGATTCAACTCTGGAACATGTGCAGGATCCTCAGAGCACAGTTAAAGTTCAGGTAATGAATGATTATTTTAAAGGATAATGGAAGTAATTGGCAGGAGTTAGCATTTTCTCCTAGTGTTCACCATAATGATAATATTCTTAAATTACAAAAATGCTATGCTTATTTTTGATGAGGAGGTTATTTTCTGTGACTAAATATAGCATTACATTTAGATTAGTGGCTCTCAACCTTTTTAGACTTAAGCAGTACTCAGTAGACTTAAAGCATCCCTCCACAGCTCTTGTGAATTGAGCAGCAGCCCACTTAAAAAAACAACTTGTTTATGACAGTGCTTACCTCCTTCCAGAAGGGCTGGGCAGTGGGACATAGGGTATTGGACAGGGATTGAACTTGAGCCTCCTCTTATGTGCTTATCTTCTAACACCTTGTGGTACCCTTCAAAGGATCTTATAGCACCCTATTGAGAAACGCATCTATTTAGGTACTAGTTTGCAGCTAGTACACAGGCTTTGACTTAAGCACAGTCCACGGGAGTTTTGGTTTGAGTCCACGTCTGCTTATGGGACAAATCAGGGCATTGGGATAAGCTATGTAAAATTCCAGGTGGTCAAGCCTTCTGATGGCACTCTGTTATTGTACATTTTTCAGGTTAATGCTGCTTTTTGTATTCAGGAAGCATGTTGTGGGCACAAGCTAAAACAAATATTAGACACTATGCATCAGAGGGGTGAATGAACTGGTAGGAACAGAAGTTGCTGTTTGAAAGCTTACAGAAAGATATAGGCACATTGTCCTCCTTATTTTAAACGTCCTTCCTGCTATTTAGTCACTTACATCAAACATAACCAAGGACACAGGCATGATATAATGCAGAATAAATTGTATAGCCGTAAAGGTTTTCATTGCAGGCTGGGAAACCCAGTGTGTAGTGCAGAGGTGAAAGCCAGTTTTAATGCATGTTTTTCTATGCAACAGCCTGGAATGGCCACCATGTAGCCAACAAAACTAGAGGATTAGCTACAAGGTTAGGAAGGTAGGAATATAAGTTAGCGTGAGAAAAGCCAACCGCAATGTATAAATTCCTAGTACAGTAAACTAAGAACATAAGTGTAATAAAATCATAGAGAAGTAGAACTGGACAAGACCTCCAGAGGTCATGTAGTCCAATCCCTTGTCTGAGGCAGGATCAGCCCTATCCAAACCATCCTATAAAATCCATGATCTAAACTGTACATAAGCCTAGCATCAACCCTGACACAACATAGACATAATACCCTAACCTCCTGTGTCTTGCATGTAATGCTTCTATTGATACATCCCAAAACT